AGGACGGGGATGGGCTTCGAGGGCCCACCCAGCACCCTGAGACCACACTGGTGTCTCCCAGTGACCCCGCTGGATACCAGGACAAGGACGACACTCTGCTTCTCCTCTTGAAAGCTAGGCTGGAGCTAGAAGGGTGGGTGAATCCAGCTTGGGCACCCCCAGTGAACTCTGCCCTGTGACTCTATTTATTCCGATTAAAGGGGTTTTGCAGATGGGCTTGTCCCTTGGGACTCTGTGCGTGATTACCATGTCCATGTCCAGGGCCTGCTTCCTGCTGCCTTGGGGCCACCTCTGGGCACAGGTCTAGGTCGTGGGAACCTCAGCTGGAGCAGGGGCGCCCTCTGCTGGCCAAGCCCCAGATGGCAGGGGCTGGACAGTGCCAGGGCTTGATCTGTTCACTGCTTTTGACCAGCCTGAACCTGTGCCTGGGGGGCGCTCACCTGCACAGATGAGCCGAGCAGGCAGAGATTGTGACCAGAGCGATGCATCAACCATTGGGTGATGCTGTAGCAACTATTGGAGCAGGAGGGAAATTTAGAGGGACTTGGGATGACGTTTCAGTTACAAATGAGCTGTGGTGACAGGTGCCTCTTACACAGAGGCAGCCTGGACTTGGAGGTGAACAGGGTTTGGTGGGGTAGGGCTGGCCCCCTGCTTCTGGCTGCCAGCAGCTAGCTTGGGGGGTGGCGACCCTGGGTCTGACTGGGCTGAGTGAGGAGCCCGTGGGATACCAAAAACCCAAGGCTGTGGGGTGGGGACAGGGATTCGGGGACCAGCCCATCATAGCCCGGGGCTCCATGTCTCCAGCCTGTCATGGCCCAGGGCTCCATGTTTGTAGGAGCTGTGCTTGGGATTAGGGTGGTGAGCCCAGGGTCAGAAAGCAATGGGCCCAGAAAAGGGTCAGACCCAGGTGGAGATGCCACTGGCCGTTAGCAGAGCCCCAAGCTGGGCCCAGCCCACCCGGACCCGTGGGGAGGCTCCTGCACTCTGAAGACATCTGGGTGCTGCCACTGGGGCCCAACAGAGTGGGCATTCGGGTGGATCTGACCAAAGTGGTGCTTCGGGGCCTCTGCAAGTAGCTGGTGTGGATTCTGGGCGGCTGCCTGGGGCAGCATCTTCAGGCATGAGCGCTGCTGGGTGAAGCTGCATGGGCAGTCCGGAAAGTGAGACAGTCCAGAGGGACTGACCTCGGCTTTGTGGCCCCCATCTGTGCAGACGCTGTCCTCCAAACCATTACGGTCTCTCTCTGGATGGGGACGTACGCCTGCCACTGCTGGTTTGACAGCATGATCACTGGTTGTGATCTGTCAAGCTCGCCTTGCCAACCTCACAAAGGACAGTAGTGGCTGCTTATGGCAGGGAAGTGGAAGAACTTGCCCCAGATATTTCTGGAGTCAGTGTGTGTGCTAGTCAGTCTTTTGTGTCAACCAGGCCAGGCTGTGGGGCCCAGTGATCTCAACAGGAACCGAGGTGTCCTGTGAACATGTGCTGCTGTAGACAGTGAACACCTACAGTCGATTCACCTAAAGATCATCCTTGAGAACGTGTGGGCCTTATCCAATCAGCTGAAAGTCTTCGGAGCAAAAACTGATGTTTCCTAGAGAAGGAATTCTGCCTCAGAGGGAGGCGTCCACGCCCGCTTTATGTCCAGCCTGTGGCCCCACGGCTGGGTGAGCCTGTCCTCTTTCCCTGTTTCTGTCTCCTACTGATTCAGTCTCTGGACTCACTGTGTGGCCCCAGACCCTCCAGTGAGGACCGCCCGTGTTTCTTCAGAGCAGCCCTTGTACGCTGCAGACCAGGCTTCAGCTTGTCCCTGGGAGCCCTGGGGCATGTTCTGTGACCTCCCAGCTCCTCGCCTCATGGGGCATGATTCCTGTGTGTGCTGCATACCACACCTGGCACTGTTTGGCACGTTGCAGGGAGGCCATGCTCGCCCCACGAGTGCAGCCTAAGATGTGGAAACTGGAAACTGTTCTAGCGGATGGGAACTTGACGCTATTTCTGGATGAATGACAAGGCTCCTCGACGCCACTGCTTCTCGGCCTTGGCTGCACAACGGAATCCCCTGCGGAGGTTTTGAAAACACTGGTACTCGCTGCAGGCAGTGGCAGCTGCTTCAGAGACTGAGGTGGAGGATTGCTAGAGGCCAGAATTTTTGGTTTGTTTTTTGAGACAGAGTCTTGCTCTGTTGCCCAGGCTGGAGTGTAGTCCCGTGATCTTGGTTCCCTACCTCAGCCTCCCGAGTAGCTGGGATTACAGGCTTGGGCCACCACACCTGGTTGATTTTTGTACAGTAGAGATGGGGTTTCACTGTGATGGTTAAGCTGGTCTCAATCTCCTGACCTCAAGTGATCCGCCTGCCTCGGCCTCCCGAAGTGCTGGGATTACAGGTGTGAGCCACTGTGCCCACTGAGCCGTTTTTAATCCAGCATGGGCAACAGCAAGACCTGCCTCAAAACGAACAAAAAACCTCTGGTGCCTGAGGCCCACCCCCAGCTGATTTGGATGTGAATTATCTGCCAGGCACAGGGGCGCACACCTGCAATTCCAGCACTTTGGGAGGCCAAGGCGGGCGGATCACAAAGTCAGGAGTTCAAGACCAGCCTGGCCAACATGGTGAAACCTGGTGTCTGCCAAAAATACAAAAATTGGCCAGGCGTGATGGCAGGTGCCTGTAATCCCAGCTAATTGGGATGCGGACGCAGGAGAATCGCTTGAACCCAGGAGGTGGAGGTTGCAGTGAGCTTAGACCGTGCCACTGCACTCCAGCCTAGGTGACAGAGCAAGACTCTCAAAACAAACAAACAACAGAGACCTCTAATATGGGCCAAGGTTGAGAACCCCTTCTCTGGGCCCCATCCAAGCACCAGATTGTCACAAACGCATGCACGCACTCACACCTGTGGGCTTGGAGGGCTTCGGAAACGTGCTTGTTTTTTTTGAGACGGGGTCTCGCTCTGTTGCCCATCCTGGAGTGCAGTGGCTCAATCATAGCTCACTGCAGCCTTGACCACCTGGGCTCAGGTGATGGTGCCTCAGCCTCCCAAGTGGCTGCTTCTGGTTTTCATGACGACCTGGGGGCCAGGCACTCTACACTTGCTGCTGTTCGGGGCCAGCCCTGCACTGGGAAGGCCCATCAGCCATAGCTCCTCCGAGCAGCACCGATGTGCAGAGCTAGGCAGCTTTGTTTCCATCTGGATCCTGCGCAGGTTTTCTTGGTCCATCCGTAGATACTGCACTCCTGCACCGGATCTTCGTGGGATGACCCACTGCCTCCGTTGGGCTCACCATGACGCCTCTTGGTCTGTTGGCTTCTCCTCCCGCGTTTGAACAATCTTCTCTGCATACCACACTGCTAGCCACTGGACACCCTGCTTTCGACCTTTACCATTTTGTCATGGTATTGCCAAGTTAGTTAAAAAACAAAAAGGAGGCTGGGCACAGTGGCTCATACCTGTATTCTCATAAGTCTGACACCAGCCTGGACAACATGGCGAGACCCCATCTCTACAAAAAAAAAAAAAAAATGAAATGCGCTGGGTGGGTGGCGCATGCATGCCCGTGGTCCCAGCCACTTGGGAGGCTGAGGTGGGAAGCTTGCTTGAGGTCAAGGCTGCAGTGAGCTGGTATTACATCACTGCACTCCAGCCTGGGAGACAGAGACTGTATGAACAAACAAAAATACAAACCACAAAGGGCTACTCTGAACCTGTCATTAAAAAAATAAAAAAAAAAAATTATGGATACAAGTGAAGAATCTGTCATTTTCCTCAAACCTGCTTTTCACCCATGGTGGAAATGCTGCTCCAGGGCCACGAGGTCTTTGCATGGGCTCCCCACATGGGGCCTTGGCTTACACTGTGCTCCCCACCTGTCCCGAGTTCCCAGTCTGTCAAAATCCAACCTGGTCTCCCAGGCCCAGGGCAAATGCCACGTCCTCCATGGAGCCTGCCGCATCCTTTGCACACTCGGGCACTGACCTTGTTCCCCCAGCACACATGCATGGGTACAGCTTGCCCCTGTAGCCACTCAGGCACAAAATGAACTCTTGCAGAGGGTCCGGAGCGCAGAGCAAAGGGTTGCTGCTTCCAGGTTCAAGTGCATTTGAGTTTCATTCCCAGAATCCTTTTTCTGGTCTTTAATTTCTTCTCTGGATTAGGTCCCACTCATTGCTTTCCTTTTCAATTTCCAAGAGGTTGCTCAGAGCCAGCAGTACCTGCCTTCCCCGTTGCGGGGGTCAGCCTGTGGCGGGGTGGGGGGGGTCTCATCCTTTTGATGGAGTTGGCCCGCAATGGGCAGGTCCACCTTTGACCTTGCTCTCTGAAGTGGAAACAGAAAAAGAGACTTGCTTGGTTTGAGGGGCCACCGGGGGTGCTTGATCTCTCTTCAAAGGCCTGTCTGTAACACCAATGCCACACCGGTGGCACTGACTGGCCACCCTGAAGGCCACGACCAGTGTCCTAGGAAGGGACTTCGGCTGTGCCACTGAGATTTTGGGGTTAGGCTGCTGCTGCCTCACCCAGCACCGACGTTCCACTGTGCTCATACAAAAATGAATGGCATTAAGATGTCTAGGAAACACAAAAAACCCTCATGACTCTTCTCTCCAAAGACTTTTTAAGCTCAAAGTGGACCCTAGGCAAAAGTGAGCGGCATTCCTTTGCCAGGACTCTAGGCGGGCCCCAGCCTCCTCTTGCTGCCGTCCCAGACAACAGCAGTTACCAGATACTGACTCGGACGGGCTGTGTGGCTAGAGAGCTAGAAAGCTTGGTTGTGCCTCTCAACAATTATTAGTAAAATTTCAATATTTACAGCGAACTCACAAAGCAAATGACAGAATAAAGCAAAACAACTGGAAGTCTACGTTTCCCTCATGAGACGGAGACATGTGTGGACTCTGAGAATATGATGGCAGGCCAGCTCTCCCAGCTGCAGCGTGCAGAGTGCACATCCACAGTGTCCATTTTGCAAGATGAAATACACGTTACTTTGAACAGCCAAGAAAAAAAATTGCAATTTATTAAGATTCAATAAAGCGTTGTACTTTTGAAAGCAGATTTCGATGCATGTTCTTCAACAATCACATTCTATGAGAAAAACGTTAAGAGCCACAAACTTGTTTTTTAATCTCAGAGTTACAATTAAATCCAAAATAAAAGGTCCAAAAAAACCCCAAAAAACCTCAAACCCCCAAAACAAACTAACATATTGTTGACTTTCATCCCCAATTTTAAAACATCAGAAGTTCTTCTACAGCTCAGTGCTCACTGGCAGCACAGGAAGTGGTATGTCGGGCACGCACACGCACGCTCACACGCACATATATTGGATATACATACGCAGGTGTATGTCCATCGAATATATAGAATGCATGTAATGGCAATGAGATGCAGTCACTGAGGGAGGTTGGTTTTGCTAAATACCCTACTAAACTTGAGAAAAAAAGTCTTGAACCCAGTTTGTGCATAGTTCATGATCCTCTATAAAACCAGCTTTTGTTGATCTGCAACCTTGCAGGACCTTTTTTTTGTATATATTTTTGTTTTGATAAAACCATTAAAAAGCTAATTAAAAAAAATGTAATGCACAAGTTTCCTGATCAAGCAGGCAGGGAGCACAATGTTCATATATATATATTTTAAAACATACTTGAGGGTATGTTATTCCATTGTCTTTCTTCCTTGCAAAACAATCAAAACATTGATCATTCTTAAAACATAAAGCAATTTTTAATATATAAAGCACTCTTCAAACATCTATTTCTTTTGAGTCCATTATTTGGTAAATATGTAACTGCTACACATTAGAGATTAGGTATTTTTCTTCTTTGTCTGTTTTTTTTTTGTTTTTCTTTTTTTTTCATTTTTTTCATTTTTTTTTTTTTTTTTTTTTTTTTTCTTCATTATGCACTTTGCAAAATATTTCAGCTTTTTAAATAACATCTTCAGTGCTAGGAGTTGGGTTTAAAAATACATGAAATGGTGTGGAGCTGCCCTCGGGAGCCCTGGCTTTCCTGAGAGCGCGTCCGGCATGTGCAAGACAGTTGCCACAACGCCTGTCACCTTGACGAACGGGCGAAAGCAATCGACAGAGCCCACGACGATGGCCGAGGGAACAACACTGTCCCGTCCCAGAGCTCTGAAGGAGCATATCTGCATTCTGAAAATAGGTTTCTTTACGACGGAAGTCTTTTTTTTTTTTTTAATTCCTTTTTAAATTTTTAAAATTTTAAAGTCTGAAGGAGAAAAAAAGGTCTGTAAACAGGTGGGAGCCCAAACCCCAGGCTCCCCCAAAAGCAGTCACAACCCATGTCCAAGTGCTTGTTTCTGTTCCTGCCGCGGAACCATCCGTTCTTTACAAGTATCTATGGCCACAGTTCAACAACAGTTTTTTTCTCTTTAACTTTATATTCCAAATGGAAAAATGGTGCAATACTCTGGTAATAATTTTCTTGCATTAGTCCACAATAAAAAGCTGCTAAAGGTAGGTATACATATTATTTCTCCAGAGATATACACTGTACTTTTAAAACGCAGTCACAGAGTCCTTGAGTAAACATTTACACTTGAATTGTCGCCGGCCCTGTCCTGGGAATTCTCTGTGATGTATAGGGTTAGCTAAAGGAAGGGCGAGGACACTCAGTGCAAAGTTAGAAGCTAATAGTAACAAACGTTTGACCAATGCGCCAAAAAAAAGCATATATTGAATACAAGGGAAACCCACAGTTAAATCCTCACACGCTTTCAAACACACGGACACAGAGATCTGCGCGCTGTGAGAATCACGCACCACACACGCACACACACACTTGTTTCAACACGCACACATACACACTCACGTAGGCTATGAACTTAGAAATTTTTCCTAGAGCCTGTTCTGTGTACTGGTGTCAACCTGGAAGTGTAGAATTAGAAAGTATTCACATTTCACTATTGGCCTGCTGGATTCAAGTATTTGTATGTTTGATATGTCTTTTTTTTTAACTTTTAAAAAATATTTTTTGGGATAAAAAAAATGACATGAAAAAGTAATGAAACAAGGGTAATGTGCATAGGCGGATCCAGGGGAACAGAGAGCAGATCGCAGCCTGCGCCTTCCACTCAGCTCCCGTGCGGAGCCGCTCTGCGCCCAGCGGTCCACACCAGACTCTGCCCTGATTACCGGCCGCCTCTGGTAATGTGCATAATCGTCACAGGCTCATTTTAAATAGGCTTCACGTCTCCCTCCCTCCCCCACAGATAAAATAACCCTTTCCAGCCCACAATCTGAAAAGTGCCCTTCATGATAGAACTATTCTAAGCAGCTTTTATACTTAAAAAAAAAATCAAAATGACAACATACTATACAAACATAAGACACACAAAATAAAAAGCTACGAGGAATATCCTGTCATTAGCATGTGACGCTGACCGACCGCAGCCCGCACTGTTTTGGGAACAGTTCGCAAGGACTACGGCCAAGGTTCGTCTTCAGTCCTGGACAGAGGTACTCAAAAGGGCGGCCGCCGCGGGTCCAGCGGGTGTGTGGGGGCCGCCCAGCTGGGAGGGTACCGGGAGGGGTCAGCTCTCCTGGTGCTGATGATGGCAGCTCCTACAGGGACTCCCCGCTGAGCAGGTCCCCGGGCAGCAAGGTGGTCAGCGGGGTGGGACTGCCGATCACCCTGCTGTCGTCGGCACTGGGCGGGCCCCACAGGCTGCTGGAGTACTGGGGCACCCCGCCCCACAACAGCTCACTGCTCCCCTTGCCACCCAGGCACGGGGCATTCCAGTGGCCAGCATCGCTGCGCACCAGGCCATGGGAGCTGCCCGCTGCGCTGAGCCGCGGCTGGCTGGATGCGCTGCTGGACTGCCAGCTGGAGGTGGGTGGCAGTGCCTGGCCTTGAGCTAAGAAGCGATTCACTTCTTCTTCGCCAGCAAACTCCGCCAGGATGGTAGTGTTGCCCAGGACGCACCTGCAACAGCAAGATGGGGTGCGTGAGCGGGGCCACCCCAAGTCCTGCTGCATTTGTGGCACTGGCTTTCTGTCTCTGTATTGGGAAAGGTCACCCGGAAGTCAGCCTGTGGTTTCTGTTTTGCCATTTCCAAACCCAGCCTGTGAATGTTTTTCGCAGTTGAGACTAGTGGAAGGTGGATGGCAGCAGCCTCCGGTGGGTACAGAGAGCACCTCTGCAAGTGCAGGAGTACACCAGGAAGCTCGAGGCTCACTTAGGGCCAGGGTCACCCACTGTCATTTGCATCCTGGGCTAAAAACAGGAAGGACTAATATCAAGGTCGCATGTCTCAAGTGATGTGACTGATCAGGTCTACTCATACTTCTATCAAAACCAACCTTTCGTTGAAGGGCTGGCTGTGAGGACCGCTGCAGGGCCCCATGTAGAAATGGGTGACAGTCCCCCACGCTTCCGCCGGTGGGAGGGTGTTTTCTATCATTGTGATCTGTGTGTACTTTTTGGGGGGTCTCTCCCTAGCGGAGGGGGTAGACACAGTAACTCAGCAGCAGAAGAAACCAATAGTAAGTCCCAGGATACCTGTGAGGAACCGACCTGCGTCACCTTCCCTCAATTCCTTTGCTGAAGTCCTCACCCCCAGTACCTCCCATGCAACTGTGTCTGGAGATGAGTTTTTAAGAAGTAATTAAGTTAGATGAGGTCACATGGGTGAGCCCTAGTCCAACATGACTGGTGTCCTTATAAGGAGAGAAGATAATGGCACAGACATGCACAAAGAGATGACCATAAAAGAACACTGAGGGAGAGGCCAGGCGCAGTGGCTCACGCCTGTAATCCCAGCACTTTGGGAGGCTGAGGCAGGTGGATCACCTGAGGTCAGGAGTTCGAGAGCAGCCTGACCAACATGGTGACACCGTCTCTATTTAAAAAAAAAAAAAAAAAAGAACAGAGGGAGAAGGCAGCCATCTACAACCAAGGACAGACGCCTCAGGAGAAAGCAGCCCTGCCCACACCTTCGTCTTGGGTGTCAGACTTCTGGCCTCCAGAAGTGGGTGGGTGGCCAGCCTGTGGGATCCTGCTGTGGCTCAGGACACCCGTGCAACACCCCTAACCTAACACTCTGGGGGATGTGGAGCTACTTGGAGCGCTGAGGTGGCTGTGAGGAAACATACATGTGCAGAGACTTCTGGGCCTTGGCAGCCTCCTCCTTGGAGCTGTACCGGACCACGGCATTGCCTTGAGTCAGGTTCAGGTGGAATGTGATGAGAGGCCCGTGTTGCAAACACAGTGTCCGCAGTGTGGAGCCATCGATCTGACAGAGGAAGCACAGGGGCATGAATGAGTTTGCTTCTAATTTCTTTCACTACCTCCTTCCAAAGAAAAAACATGACATCAGATACACTAAACACTAGGAAAATGTTTTCTTTAAAAGGGCTAAAAACTTTACAACATTAACATTTTATCTCTGTGGCCAAATGTGTAATTGAAATAGTGGATGAGGCTGGGCACAGTGGCTCAGGAGATCAGGAGTTTGAGACCAGCCTGACCAACATGGTAAAACCCTGTCTCTACTAATAATAAAAAAAATAGCCAGGCGTGGTGGTGTGTGTCTGTAATCCTAGCTAGTCCAGAGGCTGAGGCAGGAGAATTGCTTGAACTCAGGAGGCAGAGGTTGCAGTGAGCTGAGATTGTGCCACTGCACTCCAGCCTTGGTGACAGAGTGAGACTTTGTCTAAAACAAACAAACAAACAAACAAACAAAAAAAACCTCTTGGATGTTTCAGTTTTATTTTATGAGTTAGGCTAATTGGAGGAAGGAGAAAAGCTCCATTTTGAGTTCTGCTTTCTTTTCACCAGATCACGTCACACAGTGCCTCTGGTTTGCAAAAGCCACCTGGGCCCAGCTGCAGACAGGACTTGGGAGACATGCAGGTAGGTGTGGCCTGGGTCTCAGGAAGACTGGCTAGCCCATAGTCTGACGTGGCCAAACCACTCTTATAAGAAACATTATAAAAATATACACATGGGTTCTCACTATGTTGCCCAGGCTGGTCTTGAACTCTTGGGCTCAGGTGAGCCTTGGCCTCGGCCTCTCAACGTGCTCGGATTACAGGCGTGAACTACTGCATCTGGCCAGGCCAAACCACTCTTGAATGGGTAGTTGTAAGATAAACAATTCTGTTTACAGAGAACAACACTTTTCCAGCCTCTAGTGGGTAAACAGTTCACCAGGAACATGTCAAAAGAGGCCCCTGGGCCCCATCTGCTACTGCTGCTGCTGGAGCAATCCTGGCACTTGCTCATCTCCTCCTGTGCAGTGTCACCTCTGGACCCTGACCAAGAACCCCCCGCCACCCTGCCACACCAGACAGCCTCATCTGCATCAGAAGCCAAGCAGGACCCCTCCCTGGATCGTGCTCAGTGACGCAGGGGCACCGGCATTGCACCTGGGGAGTGAGGTTTCGAAGAACAAGCCAGCTGCTGGTTCTTCCTGAGGTGTCGGTGCTCCAGGCAGAACCTGCAACAAGAGGGGGAACCCAGTTGACGAGGCCCCGTGCCAGTGGATAGTGTGCCCCCCCGCCTCTTACTGTGCTCAAGTGTCGGCCAGCACGGGTCGTCACCGCATGCGCTAGGATAGCCTTCTCAGCCTGGGGGGGCCTGTGCTTTCTTTGGTAAACCAAAATCTCAGTCCCTGCAGACCCCCTTCCTGCTGCCCTGTGGAAACTCTGACTTCTTGGATCTTCCCACCAGGCCAGGAGGCCCGTGTTTTTCCATCTGTGCCAGCAGTGACGGGGTGATGATAGGCCTGAGAATCTCCAGGGAAGCTCTGGTCTTCACGTCTGCCTGCCCCCAGCCCCCAAGTGGAATCAGTGCTTGCAGGTTCTTCTGGTTAATACAACAGAGCAAAACCCTAAAGGCTGCTGCTAAAAGGAGGGCACTGTTACTTTCAAACTGTTTGATACGGTTTGGCTGTGTCCCCATCCAAATCTCATCTTGAATTGTAACTCCCACGATTACATTTTGTGGGAGGAACCTGGTGGGAGGTAACTGAATCATGGGGGCAGGTCTTTCCTGTGCTGTTCTGGTGATAGTCTCTCACAAGATCTGATAGTTTAAAAAATGGGAGTTTCCCTGCACAAGCTCTCTCCCTTCTCGTCTGCTACCATGTGAGATGTGCCTTTCGTCTTCTGCCATTGTTATGAGGCCTCCCCAGCCACGTGGAAGTGCAAGTCCAATAAACCTCTTTCTTTTGTACATTGCTTCGTCTTGGAATGTCTTTATAAGCAGCATGAAAACGGACAAATAAAGAAAACTGTTACCCCAGTAGAGTGGGGTGCTGCTGAAAAGATATCCAAAAATGTGGAAGGAACTTTGAAACTGGGTAACAGGCAGAGGTTGGAAAAGTTTGGAAGGCTCAGAAGAAGACAGGAAAATGTTGGAAATTTGGAACTTCCTAAAGTCTTGTTAAATGGCTTTGACAAGAATGCTGACAGGGACATGGACAATAAAGTCCAGGCTGAGGTGGAACTTGGGAGCCAGAGCAAGGGTGGCTCTTGTTGTTTTAGAAAGAGACTGGTGGCATTTTGCCCCTGCCCTAGAGATCTGTGGGACTTTCAACTTGAGAGAGGTGATGTAGGGTATCTGGTAGAAGAAATTTCTAAGCAGCAAAGCATTCAAGAGGTGACTTGGGTGCTGCTAAAAGCACTCAGTTTTGCTGGGCACAGTGGCTCATGGCTGTAATCCCAGACCTTTGGGAGGCTGAGGTGGGCGAATCACAAGGTCAGTAGTTTGAGGCCAGCCTGGCCAACACAGTGAAACCCATTCTCTACTAAAAATACAAAAATTAGCTGGGCATGGTGGCATGTGCCTGTAGTCCCAGCTACTTGGGAGGCTGAGGCAGGAGAATCACTTGAACCCAGGAGGCAGAGGTCATGGTGAGCCAAGATGGCACCATTGCACTTCAGCTTGGAAAACTGGTTGGGTACAGTGGCTCATGCCTGTAACCTCAGCCCTTTGGGAGGCTGAGATGGGTGGATCACCTGAGGTGAAGAGTTTGAGATCAGCCTGGTCAGCATGGTGAAACCCTACCTCTACTAAAAATATGAAAACTAGCTGGGCATAGTGGTGCACGGGAGCTACTTGGGAGACTGAGGCAGGAGAATCGCTTGAACCCAGGAAGCAGAGGTTGCAGATTGCTCCATTGTACTCCAGCCTTGGTGACAAGAGTGAAACTCTATCTCAAAAAAAAAAAAAAAAAAAAAAAGGAAGTCTCATTTTCTGAGAAAAATTTCAATCCAGCTGTAGAAATTTGCCTAAGTTAAGGAGGAGCTGAATGTTCATCCCCAAGACAATAGGGAAAATGGAGACTATCTCCAACGGTATGTCAGAGGTCTTCATGGAGGCCCCCTCCCATCACAGGCCCAGGGGCCTACGAGGAAAAAAGATGGCTTCATGGGCCAGGCCCAGGGTTCACATGCTGTGTGCAGTTTAGGAATCTGGTGACTTGCATCCCCACCACTCCAGCAGTGACTAAAAGGGCCAAGGTACAGCTTGGGCCATGGTTCAGAGCATGCAATCTCTAAGGCCTGGCAGCTTCCACGTGGTGTATGAGACTCCGGGTGCACAGAAGTGATGAACTGAGGTTTGGGATCCTCCAACTAGATTTCAGAGGATGTATGGAAACACCTGGATGTTCAGACAATAGTTTGCTGCAGGGGCAGGGCTCTCATGGAGATCCTCTGCTAGGGCAGTGTGGAAGGGAAATGTGGGTGGAGCCCCCACACAAAGTCCCTACCGGGGCACCACCTAGTGGAGCTGTGAGAAGAGGACCATTGTCCTCTAGACCCCAGAACAGCAGATCCACTGACAGCTTGCACTGTGTGCCTGGAAAAGCCGCAGACATTCAACAGCAGCCTGTGAAAGCAGCCAACAGGGAGACTGTACCCTGAAGGGCCACAGGGGTGGAGCTGCCCAAGACCATGGGAACCCACCTCTTGCCTAAGCATGATCCAGATGTGAGACATGGAGTCTCTTTGGAGCTTGAAGATTTGACCGCCGTGTTGGATTTCAGACTTGCATGGGGCTTATAGCCCCTTTGTTTTGGCCAATTTTTCCTATTTGGAATGATTCTATTTACCCAATGCCTGTACCCTCACTGCATCTAGGAAGTAACTAACTTGCTTTCGATTTTACAGGCTCACAGGCGGAAGGGACTTGCCTTGTCTCAAATAGACTTTGGACTGTGGACTTCTGAGTTAATGCTGAAATGAGTTACGACTTTGGGGCACTGTTGGGAAAGCATGTTTGGTTTTGAAATGCGAGGACATGAGATTTGGGAGGAGTCGGGGAGGAACTAAATGGTTTGGTTGTGTCCCCACCTAAATGTCATCTTGAATTGTAACTCCCACAATTCCCATGTTTCATGGGAGGAACCCAGTGGGAGGTAACTGAATCATGGGGGCAGATCTTTCCCATCTTGAGTGAGGAAGTCTCCTGAGATCTGATGGTTTTAAAAATGGGAAATTCCCTGCACAAGCTCTCTTTTTTCTCGTCTGTCGCCACGTGAGACATGCCTTTCACCTTCTGCCATAATTGTGAGGCCTCCCTAGCCATGAAGAACTTTAAGTCCAATAAACCTCTTTGCCAGTCTCGGGTACGTCTTCAGCAGCAGCGTGAAAACGGACTAATACACTATCTGTAGTTGATTTTAAAAATTTTGTTATTTATTATTATTTTTCTAGAGACAGGGTCTCACTCTGTCATCCAGTTTGGAGGGCAGTAGTTCAAGCATTGCTGACTGTAGCCTCAATCTCCTGGGCTTGAGCCATCCTACCATCTCAGCCTCCCCGGCAGTTGGGATCCCAGGTGTGCGCCACTGTGCCCCCCTAAATTTTTTATTTTTTTGTGGAATGGGGGTCTTGCTTTGTTGTCCACAATGGTTTAAATCTTCAGTTTCTTAAATTCCCAGTACATTTCATCTCTGAGGTTCAGCAAGCAGCACCTGTGAGGAGCCTACAGAGCTGCAATATTATGAGAGTTGTGTTTTCAAACTGGTAGGGTTTGTTTTTGGCCTGCAAAAGCCTTATGTTCCAATGATGTCTCGTGGAGAAGCAAATAAAAAAAGCAGAAATCCAGATCCCTGTGCGATGGGGCCTAATGGGGGCAGAGAGCCTAAAGGGCTGTGCAGGCCTCTGACGGCCCAGTACAGGGCAGCCGCACTCCTGAGGATGGAGTTGGCCAGTGTGGGCCCTCAATGGGTGCTGGGACCGCCTGGAACTTCCTGGCCCAGAGCAAACCTGCTGCATGTTGGCACACCTAGGCTGATGCTAAAAACACCAGGCTCACCCAGCTAATGCCCTGGACATCTAGGGCAGCCTTGGTGCCCTCCTAAAGCCTCCCAGGCTCCAGAGTTAGAGGCAGGGGTCCTTACAAAGGAAGTGGAGGACAAAATGATGAGCACATCCCCTAAAGGGTAAGGCCCCCACTGGAACATGAAGAGCATGGAGCTTACCCGAGGAGTAGGAGCTGGTCCAGCCGAGGGGGCTGGCACCCCAGGTGGAGGAAGGCTTGGGATTGGTTAACCCTGGAGGTGGCCTCGTGGGTGCAGTAGTGTTTCTGGGCACCTTCCACAGTTCATGAGACAGAGAGGCTTGTGTGTGGGAGGCCGGGCCAGAGGACCACGTTGATTTAATGTCTGACAGTTTACCTAGAAAAGCAGAGACATGGAACATATGCAGCCTTGAGACAAAGAAAAGTCACTGCTGTGTTTGGGGAGCCACAGCAGACCGTGACAGACAAAGGAACACCGAGTCAAGCCCCTGGCAAACTCAAGTAACTAAATTCCCAGAAGTTTCTGCATCTAAGTTTTCAAAACCTTGCATACCCCTTGTCTTGTGGCCATGGGGGAAAGGAAGAGAGAAGGCAGCGGGCCTACACACTTGTATGGAGAAGAGGTAACCACTTCCATGCATGTGCAAGCCCATATGCCCAAGGCACCGGCTGTGCCTGGGCAAGGCCGCCACACATCCTCCATCCCACGACACAGCCTCCCAGCTCAGGGAGTCAGTAAAGAGACGGGAAAAGCTGGGGGCCTGTCAAAAGTTTTGTTTGTGGAAAGAAATAAAATTCTACCTGCAAGTGGAGAGGCTGGGCGCGTACCTGCAACACTAGGTGCGGATGCAATGCTGCTGAAAGAGCTACTGTAGCCGGAGGCACTGAGTGGCCAGGCACTCGAAGAAGGCAGCGTGGCATTCTGAGATGATGGCGGGGAGGACCCTGCAGAACCAAAGGCGGCACTGAGCAAGGTGGTGGCAGCATGCGGGTTCGTGACTCCAACTGTGGGAGTTGAGAATCTTAACCATCAACAATCAATCTCTCCCTAGGCTGCTGAAGGCTGAACATGAAAGTGTCATGTGGGAAGGAAGGGACAGGGCATGCCTCCTACTCTGGGTCCCTGCAGCCACTCAGGGAGGCGTAGGGTGTGGCTGAAGGCTGAGGATCAAAGGGCAAGGAGCAGCAGCAGCTTCTTTGAGAAGAGAATTCCTGCCAGAATGCTTAAAATACCATGTCAGAGTTTTAAAGGACTACATTGATTTCCTCTCCCAAATAAGATAAAATAAAAATCCAGAGCAATCTATGCCCTTTCACAGTTCAAACAATGGCCACAAATAGAAGAACAAAACTCCAAGCCTTTTATTATAAAATTTGCCATAAAAATTTGAGCATTTCTTCTGATTGGGGTGTCCCATCAGCTTCCACTCATATTTTGCTTTAAAAATTGTGTTTTTTAGAGACGGGGTCATTGCAGCATTACCCAGGCCACAGCACAGTACCTATTCAGAGGCGTGATCATAGTGCACAGCAGTCTCTACCTCCTGGGCTCAGTGATCCCCTTTCCTCAGCCTCCTGTGTGGCTGGGACCACAGGTGCATGCCACCATGCCCAGCTCTTAATTCCATTTTTAAATATAGGAATATTTAAGAGCTATCTGTTCTAATAACTATTTATATGAACTTGAGTTATTCTATCCCTAGGACTGCAGTTTTCTGAGGAAAGCTTGTCCCTGTGCCTGGACAGGAGAGTTGGGGTAAATGGGCCATCCTTAAGGCACCTCGATTCCTTGTGAAAAAGCTCAGCTCGCGGCCAGGCGCAGTGGCTCACACCTGTAATCCAAGCACTTTGGAGGCCAAGGCGGGCGGATCACCTGAGGTCGGGAGTTCAAGACCAGCCTGACCAACATGGTGAAAC